ATTTTTTGGGATTTTTTGGGGGTCCCAATGGCCGCCCCTCCCCCACTCCCTCACTCACCTCCTGGGGGGTCCCAACGGCAGCAAAGGGCGGGAAAATCGGGAATTTTGGGGAAAATTGGGGAAATTTTGGGAAATTTTGAGAAAATTTCGGGAATTTGGGGAATTTTGGGGGAATTTGGGGAGGAATTGGGAGAATTTTTGGGGTAGGAAAGAGAAAAAAAGAGAAAAAAAAGTTAAATTTTGGGAATTTCAAACTGGGAGGGACTGGGAGGGGGCGTGGCCAAAGTGGGATGGGCGTGGCCAAAGCGGGGTGGGCGTGGCCAGGTGGGCGTGGCCCACACCTTTAAAATGTCGTTAAAGCCCCAAAAAAGCCCCAAAAATGGGAATTTTGACCAATTTTTAGGGGGATTTTTTGGGCGTGGCCCCTCCCAGGTGAGGTGGGCGTGGCCCGGGGGCAGTGGGCGTGGCCAAGGTGAGGTGGGCGTGGCCTACCCAGCTTCAGCAGCCAAAATGACCCAAAAAAAGCCCCAAAAATGGGAATTTTGACCAATTTTTAGGGGGATTTTTTGGGCGTGGCCCCGCTTAGGTGAGGTGGGCGTGGCCCAGGTGAGGTGGGCGTGGCCCAGGTGAGGTGGGCGTGGCCCAGGTGAGGTGGGCGTGGCTTCTCTACCTTGAACACCAAATTGGGTTAAAAAAGCCCCAAAAACGGGAATTTTGATGGATTTTTATGGGGATTTTTGGGCGTGGCCCCTCCCAGGTGAGGTGGGCGTGGCCTGGGGAGGTGGGCGTGGCTCCTCCACCTTGAGCACCAAATTGGGCTAAAATTGGGTTAAAAAAAGCCCCCAAAATAGGAAATTTGACCGATTTTCGTGGGGATTTTTTGGGCGTGGCCCCTCCCAGGTGTGCCCAGGTGGGGTGGGCGTGGCCCAGGTGAGGTGGGCGTGGCCCAGGTGAGGTGGGCGTGGCCTACCCACTCTAAATGCCACTTAAACCCAAAAAAATCTAAAAAAGGCCCAAAAATGGGAATTTTGGTGGATTTTCGCGGGGATTTTTTGGGCGTGGCCCCTCCCAGGTGTGCCCAGGTGTGGTGGGCGTGGCCCAGGTGAGGTGGGCGTGGCCCAAGTGAGGTGGGCGTGGTCAACCCAGCTTGAGCAGCAAACTGGGCTAAAATTGAGCTTAAAAAAGCCCCAAAATTGGGAATTTTGACCGATTTTCGCGGGGATTTTTTGGGCGTGGCCCCTCCCAGGTGAGGTGGGCGTGGCCTGGGGTGGTGGGCGTGTCCTGGGGGCGGTGGGCGTGGCTTATCCACCTTGAGCACCAAATTGGGTTAAAAAAAGCCCCCAAAATGGGAATTTTGGTGGATTTTCGCAGGGATTTTTTGGGCGTGGCCCCTCCCAGGTGTGCCCAGGTGAGGTGGGCGTGGCCCAGGTGAGGTGGGCGTGGCTTACCCAGCTTGAGCAGCCACCCCTCGCGGTCGGGGTTGAAGAAGGTGTGGGTGAGGTCGTTGCCGTCGTCCTC